CCATGTTCAATTTACAGTGACCGTCAAGAATATATATCAAGCATGTTATTCACGTCTGCAAATAAAATCTCCATGCATTAGAATATGAAACTGAGCCATGGTAATTATTGGAAACAAGTGCCTCATCCCACTAAGTTGGGTATGTTATGTGGATCCACTTACTAGTCTATTGTGGTCGTCATCCATTATAGTTGAATCTTGGTGATGGCATCGATCTGATTACTAATGATCATCAAAACTGGCAGGAAGAAGCTTGCTAGACGACTTCTCTTTGATAAGAGTGCCAATGATGACCATGAAAGAAGTATCCTGACTAAATTAAAGCAACAGTGTGGTGGTCAGTTCACATCGAAGATGGAAGGGATGGTTGGTGTTCCTAGATTTCTTTTCTTAAGAACTAGTTTTCACCTGCAGCAATACGTTCCTAATTCGCTTCTCTGTGATCCAGGTTACTGATTTGACGTTAGCAAAGGAAAACCAAACTAGTTTTGAAGAGTATCTCAGTAATAATCCAAATGCAAATCCTGGCATTGACTTGACAGTCACGGTTCTGACTACCGGTTTTTGGCCAAGTTACAAGTCCTTTGATTTGAACCTTCCAGCAGAAATGGTACTCGCAGAATTTTGCTGAGATATAAAATTTGAAGTTTGGTTTGATGTTCATAGGCAATTTCTGATAGTTGAAATATATTACTTATCTCAGATTTAAAAGTTATTGTTAATTCTTGGTTGTTTCAGGTAAAGTGTGTTGAAGTTTTCAGGGAATTCTACCAGACAAAAACAAAGCATCGAAAGCTAACATGGATTTATTCCTTAGGGACTTGTAACATTATTGGTAAATTTGAGCCAAAAACCATGGAGTTGATAGTGACAACATACCAGGTAATTTGTTTTTTGAACTTTTTGTTTTTATCAATTTTGAGATCTGGTAGACTTTGGGATTTGTTATTTTGTGTTATGTATTTTTTCACTTGAAAACTTTTTCTCCCCTCTCCATTGCTTTGTAGGCCTCAGCTCTGTTGTTATTCAACTCTTCCGATAGACTGAGTTACTCGGAGATAATGACCCAGTTGAATTTGACTGATGATGATGTTGTGAGGCTTCTCCACTCCTTATCATGTGCCAAGTACAAGATCCTTAACAAAGAACCAAACACAAAAACCATCGCTCCTACTGATCACTTTGAGTTCAACTCCAAGTTCACTGACAAAATGCGGAGGATCAAGGTATAACGGACTGTTTTTAAATTGTCCTGAATTGTCTGACCTTGTCTTTCTACATTAACAAAAGTTAATTGCAATCCTGTTTTAGTTCTTCTCCCCTTATTTATCAGTGCAATCTTGTTTTAATATTTCCCAACATGCAGATTCCTCTTCCTCCTGTGGATGAGAAGAAGAAAGTGATAGAAGATGTTGATAAGGATCGGAGATATGCAATCGATGCCTCAATTGTGCGTATCATGAAGAGTCGAAAAGTTTTGGGTCATCAGCAGTTGGTCATGGAGTGTGTTGAGCAGTTGGGTCGTATGTTTAAGGTCTTTACTAGACACTGTGTTGACCCATCACCTTCATCCTCGTTCTTTCATTTTTTATCGACTGATTTTGTTTTATTGCAGCCTGATTTCAAGGCAATCAAGAAAAGGATTGAGGACTTGATCACTCGGGACTATTTAGAGAGAGACAAAGACAACCCCAATTTGTTCAGATATCTGGCATGACATATTCTGGATGATTGTCCAGATCGAATGACTTCTGCTCCTGCAATGGTATGGAATCAAGTCCGAGATCCCTTTGGTGGTGGCCCCGAAAACAATGTAAATGCATCTCTTCTCAGTGCTGGGAAGGCAGGACCTCAGATTGCTTGTACATTTTGTCTACACGACTGAGCGTGAATGAGTAGAGCTGGTGTTTTCGCCATGTTGGTAAGATTTAAAATTATTCCAATGGGTAAAGTTGCGCCAATTGGACCATCTTAACATCTTTAGTTAGTAACGCAAGCTCTTTTTCATGCTTGTTCAATAATCCCTTTCTGCCTGTCCCGAGAGAAGTTTATTTGGAGTAAGATATGTTTCATTCCTATGTTTTAAGCTATCGGCCATCCGGTGAATTGTTGTTTCGTGAACCGGGATTCAGACAGTCAGAAATTTATGTGGTGGTGTATAGCGATGTTGATAAGGTGAAAAGTATCTGGTTTTCTTTTCCTCAAATTTGGGAGGACAAAACTCTAATTTCTCAGAGATTGAGGGAGGGAAGTTGCCAAATCGATTAGTCCCCTTACGGTTTGTTTCAGCGCAGAGTCTAATTGAAGCATTTCTGTCTTTTGGTGTTCCTCATCTTCACACATTGTCATCACAAACTTCTACCATGCTTCCTTTTGGGATTTTAGCATTCTCCTTCGTTAAAGGTGTACCGATTCGCGATCTTGCAAATTGTCCGAGCTCGCATTAGTCGGTGTACATGGAGTCTTACCCTTTTATCCTCTACCAACACTCGAGTGAACCGGGTATCCTCGGTGATATGTTCTTTCCATCTTGAATCTGCTTAACCCTTGTTCTCGTCCATTTGACACACTCTTGCTATGTTTGCTAGGAGGGATAGAAGTATATTGGAATGCAAAATGTTTACGAAACTCGGATCTTCTCTTTTTCCCTCAAGAGAGAATTACAGACTGGGCACTTTTTCGTCTAAACTTACATTACCTTCATTTTTCTCTTCTTTTTCCAAACATAGCGTAGATCTCCTATCGATCCTTTGCCCTTCGTGAATTCGTTGTCGACTAGACACTAACAAGACATGAGAACCAAGGCTCGAGCGTGAGAGGAATTTCTTATGAGAAATCCGAACTCTACTTGACATGACACTACTTAACATAATGACAAGAAAAGCGCTTCGCAACCATATCGATGTATTTTTGCAATGACGGGAAGTGATATGAATAACACGAAGCACGAATTGTTACCACTATTTTCGAACCGAAATCTTTCAACAGAGCCAATATATGTCGTCGGTGAACAGTCTTGATGGATTCAATTCCGTCCTTGCCACACTTCTTAGCGGTGCATTCGATTCCTTAGTGTCCGATGCACTCTATGTGCTGACATAATTTGATAACTCGTAGCAGTATTGCTGAGGATGAAATTGCCATTGTTTCAGGCAGTCGATAAGCACTTTCCAAATCCGGAAGGCCTTATAACCCCCTTAACATCGGATCTACCTTCTAGCGTTTTCGTTAAAAGAAGATGTTGTACAGAATGCAATTGAGTTCTTTTAAAGTACTTAATTGGTGCACTAAAATTGGTGTAATCAAACTCTGCACTGTGGCCGAGAAAAATAATCAATTTCTAAATCTATACTAAAAAAGGGCAACTTAAGGTTGATACGTGCGCGACGGTTTGATTTCCACCGTAATATTGAAGTGCCACACCCAAATACCGATACCGTTAAGCGCAATGACATGATTGTGAAAAAAAATAATATTAGATCATTGCATTTCAAACATGAAAAATTTAGTGAATGTGAATAAATGGTTAAAATAAGCATTAAATCTACTTTACTTTAAACACACATAATTAAGATATGAATACCCTCCATGTAAGTGTACATATAAATACAAATAAACAAAAAGTTTCACCAATATGACAACAATGGCAGTGCTGAGAGCTTGGCATTACTATCAACTAAATATTTATTTACTTAGTTGATTCAGCTTGGTGCCTGCCATTGGGTAGAATAAACGAAGGAGTATGCTGTTTGTTCAAGAAAGAGGTTTAGGAAGCTACATACGATTGTTATCATGCATTGATCTCGAATAATAATAATAATAATAATAATAAAATTGATGGAATCTATTAATAAAGCCTGATTTGAGGAAGAGATTTTTTCCAAAAGTGGCATTTATTATTTATTTGTGTTTTTGATAGTTATTTCGGTGTTAAATATAACTCTAATAATTTATTTGTTGTTTGTCCGTGCGATTTGGTCTTCAGATTTTTCATTATGCAATCAAATCCTTTATTTTTTTTTTTCAATTTGTGCAATCAAATTCTTCCATAATTTATCATTATTAAATTGATGACATGATGCATTTAACATGAAAAAAACTACTCAATAAATTAGAAAAATAAAAATGGAATTTAAAGAGAGAGAAACGCATCCCGCCCCAAGGCCCATTGGCGAGGATGACATTATCCACGTTGGTGACTCGCGAGGGACTCAAGACCATCTAGCAAGGGTCCAGCAACTCCGAGCACCATCAAGGTTGTCGAGCGCCTACCGGTATCATGCGAGAGTCGGTCCACTTTTTAAAAAAACCTAAAACTTATCATGAAAATGCAATCAAGTTCTAGAATTTGTCACGAAAGTGTAATCGAGTCCTAAACTTTTTAAAAAGAGCAATCGATTCCTAAAACTTTTAAAAAGTGCAATCAACGGAAAATTTTGATCTGACCAATTTCACAAGTTTTAGGATTTGATTGCAATTTTTATAAGTTTTAGGACTCAAAAGCACTTTCATGACAAGTTTTAGGACTCAATTGTACTTTTTAAAAAATTTATGACTCAATTGCATTCAAGTCCTAAAACTTGTCGTGAAAATGCAATCGAGTCTTAAAACTTTCAAAAAATGCAATCGATGGAAGGATTTGATTGGTTCAATTTAACAAGTTTTAGGACTTCATTGCACTTTTTAAAGGTTTTAGGATTTAATTACATTTCCGTGACAATTATTCGATCACGCGGCGTTTTTTTTTTCAGTCAGAAACCCGGCTTTCATACGACATTATGTGCATTAATCCCAGCGACGCCGACCGCCTATATAAAACAAATGATGGAATAATTCGATTGCAAAAGAACGAGAACCTGAAGATCAAAGGAACTCTTATAGCAGCAAAAGATGGAGAGGATTGAACTGTTAACTCAAATCCCCGGGCCATTGACCAATGTATGAATCACGTGGAGGTCACGTGCTCTCATCTGCTCATACGGGTCGGGTCGGGTCGGGCGGGTCCGGATCTCCCGCCGGGAGCAGTACATCCACCTTCCCGTTGCAAGCGGGACTGCGTCCAGAGCAGAGGAAAGCGCGAACACTGCTTCGAAACGTGGTCGAACGATGTTTCTCGGTCATTCACGAGCTCTTGATTCGATTCGGGCGACGTTGTCTTTCGAATCGAACGATGTTTCTTGACTGCTGACGTCCGGATTGAGGCGAACCAGCTTCTGGGTCGAGAAGATATTGGTCTCTTGGTTCGTCTCCTTAACGTTTCATGAAGCTCTTCTTGAAGCGCCATTGCAGCTCTCTGCCCTCTCTCGCCGCCCTCGACATACCCAGGAGTTTCTCGTCCGACAACGCTGCCGAAATCGTCCGCCTCTGCAGAGCGAGGGCGCTTGCCGACGCCGTCCGGCTCCTGAACTCCACGGATCCTTCCGGCGTAAGCAACAAGCCCGGCCTCTACGGTTCCCTCCTGCAGACGTGCGCCGCGGCCGGCTCGCTCGACCCGGGCCTCCAAGTCCATGCTCGCGTGATCAAGTCCGGCCTCGACGCCGATGGGTTCGTCGGGAACAGCTTGATTACTCTGTATTTCAAGTCGAGTTCCGACATTTCGGAGACCCGGAGAGTTTTCGACGGCTTGTTCGCTAAGGACGTGATTTCTTGGACGTCGATGATATCGTGGTACGCGAAGGTGGGGCAATGCGAGGACTCGCTGGAGCTGTTCTGGGAAATGCCGGGGAGTGGGATTGAGCCGAATTGTTTTACTTTATCCGCGGTCATCAAGGCGTGCTCGGAGCTTGGTAGAGTGAGGTTAGGTTGGTGCTTTCATGGGGTCGTTTTTAGGTATGGGTTCGGCTCGAATCGCGTTATTACTAGTGCTCTGATAGACATGTATGGAAGGAACTGTTGTTTGAATGAAGCACGCAGGGTGTTTGATGAGTTGCTTGAACCAGATGCTATTTGCTGGACTTCCGTTATCTCGGCGTATACGAGGAATGATTTGTATGAGGAAGCATTGGAGTGCTTCTATTACATGCAAAGGAACCATTTGAAGCCAGACAATTTCACATTTGGAAGTGTATTGACTGCTTGTGGCAATTTAGGGTGGTTGAAACAGGGCAAACAAGTACACTCCAAAGTGATCACCTTTGGTCTTTGTGGACATGTTGTCGTCGAGAGCAGCCTCGTGGACATGTATGGAAAGTGTGGGTTGCTTGATGAAGCTCAACGTGCTTTCGATAGGATGATCAACAAGAATTCGGTTTCCATGTCTGCATTGCTTGGAGGGTACTGTCAAAGTGGAAAGTTCGAGACCGTAATTCAGCTTTTCCGTGAGATGGGTAATGCTGATCTCTATGATTTTGGGACAATAATTCGTGCTTGTGCAGGTTTGGCAGCTGTGAGGCCAGGAAAAGAGGTCCACTGCCAGTATGTGAGGAGAGTTGGTTGGAGAGATGTTATCATAGAATCAGCTTTGGTTGATTTATACGCAAAATGTGGTTGTATAGATTTTTCCTATAGAATATTTGTGAGGATGCGTGTCAGAAACTTAATAACATGGAACTCAATGATCTGTGGCTTTGCTCAGAATGGAAGAGGTGGAGAAGCTCTTGAAATATTCGACGGAATGGCTGAGTCAGGGGTCAGACCTGATTATATCAGCTTTGTTGGGGTTCTCTTTGCCTGTAGCCAAACAGGTTTGGTCGATCAAGGGCGACAATATTTTACTTTGATGACTGAAGAGTATGGGATCAAAGCAGGAACAGAGCATTACAATTGCATGGTAGATCTTCTTGGCCGTGCAGGTCTCCTGGAGGAGGCTGAAAAATTAGTAGAGAATGCCGAATACAGAGATGATCCATCTCTTTGGGAAGTTCTTCTCAGTGCATGCACCACCAATACAAACTCTGCTTCTGCAGAGCGCGTCGCAAAGAAAATTTTGGAACTGAAACCCGATCACCACTTGAGTTATGTTGTTCTGGCAAATGTTTACAGATCTGTTGGAAGGTGGAGTGATGCTTTGCAGATTAGAAGCCTAATGGATGATAGGAAGGTCAAGAAGATGCCGGCTATGAGCTGGACATAGAATTTAAACCTGCAGTTTATTGGATGAATTGTTTACACATTCACATTAAGGTGGTAGCAAATCGCCGAATCCATTTGGCAGCAGAGCAGCACACAATAAGGTAAATTTTTTGTCATAGCGGGCTTTATTTTTTGAATAAGTTGAACTATTGTTTAAAAGCATCTCTTTGCCTAATCTTGCGGAACTTACTAACTGGATTACCACTGTGTATAGCCTTAAGGCCAATCAACAGTTGTTGACACCGTCATCTATCTGCCGGCACCATCTGCACTGGGAGCCTGGGACAATGATCACCACAGGTGTTGCCACCGTCATCGATCTGCCAGCACCATCCTCACCAGACCACAGACTGCTGGATTTGGCTGTCTCCAGAATCAGACTGATTACCAACTAAGCTTTTTGATGACTCTGTTAGGAAAAATCCCTACGGTGTTTTGAGAATGACAAAACATTTTAAGTATACTGCCATGTGTAACCGAGTGTGCAGAAGATGTTGCCTTCACATACATGGATTTATATGCAGATGATGTTAGTAACAGGACGGGCGTCCAAAGTGGCTCTACAGAAGGTGAACAATGAATTGGACGTGGAATATGTTAATGACTGGACAGACTTTTGAAATGATGAACTAGTTATTGGACATGAGATATGTCAATGTCTAGGACTTTGCAATGCGAATAAAATAGAGGACATGTGATTGTCAAAAAGTTTGGATGGAACAACAGAAGTTGAACTGACTAGAGGACATGGAGACGTCGGTGGGCTTGGGTGGACCTTGCAGATGGTGAACAAGCTAAAAGACATGTGATTGTTGAAGAGTTTGGATAAACCAAGTAGAAGGCGAACAGTCCACAGAACATAAGTGAATATGCTTGGTGGCACCTAAATGTAAAAGGAGAACAAGATTGGTTATGCAAAATCTTGGATATACCTGACTGCAGAAGATGTTCTAGCTACAGACCGTTGTAGAAGCAGAACTGACTATTTTGGAAAACTGTTCCTACGGAGCTGAGAGTGAAGTTCCACAGTTGCAAACGACAGAACCAATGCTACTCGTGGGATTCAAAAGTCACTTGATGTGCAATGGCATTAAAATTCAACCAAAGGGCAGAAGTTTAGTTGGGAAAAGAACGAACAAAAAACTAGTCTATGTTCTGAATGTTCATCTTCTAGCTGTTCTTGTGTGCAGAAGCTATGTATATCTGGATGTATTTCTACGTAGAGATCTGTGCATCTACAATTTCTGTATATGCGGTCAACGTTGCAAGAATTTCAATAGATGATTCCAGCGTTGATTTGGGCTGTTACGACTCGGAGAGAGGTAGGTCGCTCGAACAGGCTAAATCACTATTAAGATGCTTTGCATTGCTTCTACTCTTCACTCCCCTTTATATTCAATTGACAGAAGTAGTTGTTTTTGTATGCGCACGGTCGTTCTATGCACGTTGCACATACTGTCTAGCACTTGAACGCGAAAGAGGTTAGGATTTCCTCGTCCCCTCTCGGTTGTTTGTGCCTAATCCGTCTATCATATATTAGGCTCTGATATGATAAACAAATCGCAATCAGTCAAGTAAAGACGCAAAGCACAACTGCTACAATAATCTTGGAAAAAGACCAGAGTGAAGTGATTATATACGACTATGCAGACGTAAAGCACGATTGCTTATGTTTTTCTTTGATAATGATGCGAAGGTAATTACATATACATGAACATGCACGTTTTCAAACTAGATGGATCCATTGTGACATGATAACGTAAGCACCCGTGTGTTGTTGGAAATTTTGGGTAGCTAAAAGATGTCTTTTTCTCAAACTAACATGCTCACTATAAATGTAAGGAAAATAAGTAACTCTTTTGAAATCTCAACATGCTTTAGCTTTTCTAAATAGTTTTGCAAATTTGCAATAATTCATTTCATGAAAGAGAAAATGGCATAGATGGCCTCTGAACTATGGCAAAATAAACAAAGTCGCTCCTGAACTTTTTTTTTGTTCAATGTGATTTATGAAATTTTGATATCTATTCAATTTATCTAAAATGTTCAAAATTGTCTTTCCATTAGTTCAAGTTAACGAAATTCACTGGTTTAGTTTCCTGTTCGATACATTCAAACGATTGAAAAAAAAAATTTCATATGAGTTAGGGTTAACACCGCAAAAAATCCTAAACTGGTACACCTGTGATAAATTTACTCCAAACTAATTTTTTTATTATCAAAAACTCCAAACTGGTACGCCTGTAACAAATTTATCCTAAACTAATTTTTTGACCACCAAAAATCCCAACTGGTACATTTATGACAAATTTACCCTCCGTTATATTTAATTAATACCACGAAAAATCATAAATCAGTACACATGTGATTAACGGGGGATACAATCCCAAAGTAGTACATCCATTAATTGCCATGTGTCATTCAATTCGGAAATTTGACTGTAAAATTTAACGGAAACTAACGGAGGGCAAAATTATCACATGTGCACCATTTTAGGGTTTTTGATAATCAAAAAATTAGTTTGAGATACATTTATCATAAATGTATAGATTGAGATTTTTCGTGATATTAACCCTATCAGTTATCCACGTAAATATTTAAACTCCCGTGCATGTTTTTGTTTCAAAGTGAAACAGACAGGCGAGGGCGTGGGGCTCACGAGCCCCGGACACGCTCTCCCTCTCGCTGTTCCTGCTTCCGTGGGTCTGAAAGAGAGAGAGAGAGAGAGAGAATCCATGGAAGGACTGAGCGAAGAAGACAAGCGAGCTCTTCGCGGGAGCAAGTTCGCGCCTCTACCTTCCTTGCCGCCCCCTTCTCGACCCAGGTACGCTCTCCATCACGCAGTCAGTCCCCATTCGAAACCCTTCTCCCCCCCCGAAGAAAACTATGGGTGGGGGGAAAAAGATTGGATGAATTCTGTGTTTGAATTGATTCGAATGCGCGAGAGCGGTCGGCTTGCGATTCGCAGGTTGGCGCATCCCGGTGGGGCCATCAGGACGAACAAAGCGGCGGCTCTGGCCAAGTTCCTGGAGCGCAAGCTGCAGGAGCCGCAGGGGTTGGCGTCCATCGACCCCAATCTCGTCGAGCTCGCCGTCAAGAATGCCAAAGACTGTGCCACTGCAAGTAATTGTTTTTTGTGCAAATTTCGCTGGCCTGTGCTCTTAATTGATTTGGGTTTTCTTCTGATTGTTGTTATATTGCGCGTTTTATCTGGTGTGAGAATTTGGGAATGATAATGTTGATATAGATAGTTGTGGCTCGGTGTGGTTGTAATGGTGATGGCGTGTTGTTGGTTGATGATGAGAAATTTGATCTTGCCAATTGTTCATTTGTGAGGTTTGGCTTCCTTTCTTGGTTATCAATAAAACTTTGTAGGTATCGGTTAGCTGATGGGGTTTTAAGGCTTAATGTCAAGTGGGGTTTGTTGCATTCAAATTGCTTTCCGTGACGATGCTGTAATCGTTCTTTATTTGGACTCAGACCAGGCTGTGAGGCATTGCCTTTGGAAGCTGACAATTCACTCTTTTGGTGTTGTTACAGCGTCGAAGTAAATCCGTGTCCTAATGGATGCTAATGTTCCCATGGTCTCTTTCTTGAGTCTTGGCCACATTTTATGCTTTACCCATCTGTTATTATCAATAGAAGGGAGGATCAATTTGGAAATAGTATTGCTCTGTGCTTAGTTTATGTTCTTGGTTGATGCATGTTGGTAAAATCATATGTCAGCTCCAGGTTCGAGCAAAAAGTTGCTCAGCTAGAGGGTGGAGTTTCTACCCTTCTTGTTTTGGCTTGTGTGGTATGAAAATGTGACCTTTCTAATTTGTGAATAAAATTTTGACCTACAAAAAAATTGTGAATAAATTGTGCGGTGCTGAAGTCGAGGAAATTAGTAACTAATTCAGACTGATGGCTAAGCTTTTAATCTCCCTTTTCCTCAGGCAGTATCTCAACTTCAGGAAAAATAATCAGACATGTTGATTCCTTCGATGATCCTCAGGTAGGAACTGCTTGTGCTTATTTGCCTGTGTCTCAGTTCTTGGATCTTATACGCTTGTGCAGGATCATTTCGATGCAGGACAAACTGGAACTAGTACAGAGACGAACAGCAATAGGAAGAATAAGAAAATGATGAAGAAGGATAAGAAAAAGAAGAAGAATAAGAAGGATGATAAGAAGATCAAGAAAAGAAAGGTACTTTCTCAATACTGCTTCAGCTTTGTTTGTTAGTCGCTACCTAATTTGCCTCCCTCCTGCCACTGCTAGTTTTGCCAATTTGGAAGTTTATTTCATTGTAGATACCAGAAGATGTTGTATGTTCTGTGAAGAAGAAGTCCAAGAAGATGAAGTTGAAATTGTGAGGGGGGATGATTTTCATGGTAAAGCAGAAACAAATTGAAGTACAAATCCAGTTGCGCTAAATTGCGAATCTCCCGGAGGAAACACAAATGTCGTTTCCTAAGGTAATTTGAGGATCTAGTGGCGAAAACTAGGACAAGTCAAATGCAAAGGCTCTTTCCCCCATATGTGCTGTTTCATTGAATGTTTTTGCGACATTGAAACAGTTGTTTACCTGCACATTTCAGTAGTTCCTCAGGTAACAACTAGATTTTTAGTTCATTCTTTTGGAGAAGATGGTAGTCACGTATTTGGAAATGAGTACTTGGGGAATTTGTTTTCGGCCTATGAAGAGCAATTTAGACAGCTTTTTCTTACCAGTTTCATGTTTCCTTGATGGGCTTTTATAGGTGAAGAAATGTGACTCAATTCATAGGGTGAGATTTATGTAAATTTGTAATGTCTGCAAGGTTGTAGTTTTGGATCTCGCATAAACTGTCATCCAACATCGCTTTCAGTTCTCTCATTTGAGGAGACTGATCAGATGTCCGGAATTATAATTCAAGAGAACTCTGGATATCAGAATATCCTTGACCAGAAAATGTTCGATTTTGGGTGCGCAATCACGTTGCAGATGCTGAATATTTCGAAATACTACTTTACCATCTTATTAGGAAAAAAAATGATTGGAAGAAAAGTTTATACAATAACAAAAGCCACCCATCATTACTGGCAGTTTCTTGTGCATAGCACAGTTTCCCTTTAGATTTAGGTCTTGTTCTTTTGGGCCAAACTTCAGGTTTAAGTCTTAAGCACGTTTTAGCTTGAAAAGGAAGCAGAAAGCTCTCTCTATGCACTTTTAGAAGTTACAGTAGTCTGTTCTATTGTTGTTGAAGAACTTTGATGGTTGAATCTCTGTTGTGTTTGCTCTTTCAATTTGGGACTTTCGGTGGCCACATGGGCCTGAAAAGCATATTCTGGTGGAAGCCCACAAGACTCCATGAGAGGAGTGTGAAAGAGGATTGTTTGAGATGCTTAACATGTTCTTGAGTATGAAAATTGGAAACAAGGAAGAAAGATCAAGCCGTCAAAACAAGGAAAAGAGAGAGCAAGAAAATTAGAATGAGAGTGGTTTTCGAGTGACACGCCGTTTGCCAATCGTTCCATTCGACCTACCGCAGCCCTCCTGATGGTGAGGCTAAGGTAGTCCCGGTGCACCGCTCTCCTCAAATCATTGTCTGGACAATGGAAATTCTCGGGTTTCGACCGATTGAATTCTTACCTAGCGCCATAGTTCTTGTATCTGAATTGACAGATGATGGTGCATCAAGAAATGAATTAGAACTTGACAATTGGGTTCTAAAACTCATGCAATGAATCCACTAATGTCAACACAAGTTCTTTTCGAAAGAATAAGAGCAAGTGTTTGATTGACAAAAGGGAAGGAATTGCTGGTAAATTTTGTCTGTCGGATGTTTGTTCGTGTCTTTTCCATTTTGGGTGTGTTCACGGGTGGTTGGTCTCTTTAAATGACCGTCTCCGCTTTTTGAAATTTGATGCAGACTCCATAGTCAACACCTTCGATAACTATACCTCGAGTTTGACGGTAATAACTGTCCTGCTGTTTCTATCCTTGCCGTCAATGTTAATGCTTCTCGACTCAACCAACATTGACTTGATTGAGATCGACTCGACTACCGTTCAGACGGAGGAAAACTGTTCCCGCCTTGTCGATTTAATTCTATTAGATTCTCATAATCAATACTGGTGTTTGATTATTGATTGTATTCATGATCAATAACATGTTCTATTAATCCGTCTATACTCATCCTCCTGGTTCAGTTCTCAATTCTACTTTGGAACCGTATTGGACCGGATCGAGTATATATACTTTTTTTTTATATTTTTATTTCTTCGAAAAAATTAGTAAATGGTGAACTAAATGCTAAGTGAAGCACATTTTGTGATTCATCTTTTTCAATTTGAGAATCATTGCATATATATTACTTAATTCAACAAGAAAAGATAGCATCAAGTAGTGGGAAAAAAGAAGTGATCGGTTCAATTAGACCAGACTGGCGATCCAGTTCGGTTCCCGGATCTAGGACCAACCAAACCGGTCCCTGGTTCCCAATTTTGGGAACTGATCACCTTAGAACCGAACCGAACTGGAAACCGATAACCCCTATTAAATTTCATTAACTTCAACTCTTTGATCAAAATTGACTCCTTTAGGATGCAAACAGATTCACTTCAGAAAAATATGAGCAATTGAATTAAATGCCTAGTCAACAGGTAGCCATTTGACAAAGGCTCACATGTTTCATCATAAAGTAGTTCAATCATCGTAAATATTTTGATTATGATTATAATGTTTTACGACGTTTTACAACGACTTATTTCATTTTGTCGTAAGCTTGTGCAAAACGTTGTAATAATCTAAATAATCTAATTTTTTAACCTTTTATAAAGCATTACAACTTTTTCTTGTAACCTAACTACCCTAATATATATTTTATTTTACGACATTTTCTAAGGGTTTTCAATTTTTCATTGTAAAACAGTTCAAAACGCGGAATCATGGGTATTTAAGTAATCCAATTTTTGGTACTATATGACGTTTTACATAACAGTTTGAAATTTTTTTTGTAACCCAATGCAAAAGGTTGTAAAAATTAAAATATCCTAATTTTTATTAATTTACAACATTTCGTCGTAACGTAATTCAAAAACAACGTAAATATTCTGATATTTCGATGATTTTTCGATGATTAATATTTTATGACATTTTACAAAGGTATACGACGTTTTACATAGTAGTATGGCGTTTTGTTGTACCCTAATGCAAAACTTCGTAAATATCTAAATGTCCTACTATTTATTAATTTACAAAGATTTGTAAAGGCTTACGACACATCCTAAACTTTTTAATATTTTAATTATTAATATTTTATGACGTTTTACAAAGGCTTACTACGTTCTGTCTTAACCCAATGCATAATGTCGTAAATATTTATGTTAAATATTTTACGATGTTTGAGAAAGCATTAGGACGCTTTGTCGTTATCCAATGCAAAATGTTACAAAATATTTAAATCTCCTAATTTCCAGTAATTTACTACATTCTTAAAGTGTTTCGTTTTACCACAGTTCAAAACGTCGCAAATATATTGGTATTTGATAACATTTTACAAAAGCTTACCATATTATATTCTAACCGCAAAACGTCACAAATACTTAAATAATCTAAATATGTTCGACGATGTTTTACAAGGGCTTACGACGTTTTGTTGTAACCCAATTTAAATCGTCATAAATATTTCGATGTTTAGATATATTTATTTTTTAATAATTTACGACTTCGTGCCAAAACTATTGACTTCTCGGCATGACGTCGTTCAAAAATTGGAAAAATATTAAAGATATTATTTTTTCGACAGTTGAGAATGGCTTACAACATTCATCATAAGCAAAATAAACCCTAATTTAAATTTTGGGATGTCTTGCAAAGGCTTATGACATATTGTCATTACCTTAGTTAATTTAAAATGCTGCAAATATATCAGTCTGTTCTAGTTTCTAAAATCTTACGAAGTTTTATAAAGATTAACAATTTTTTTCCGTACCCACGAACCAAATATATTCGATGACTAAATATCTACTATTTCACGACGTTTTATATAGCTCTTATTGTGGTGCACTAATGTTCTTTTTTGTTTTAAGTTCTAGTAATTTCTTCAATTTGTGATGTTGGCACACGGAAAGCAAAACAATTTGCTAAAGTTATTCGTGCAAGAAATTACTAAAATTGTCAACACACATTTCAGATTCACCAATATTTCATCTGGATATGCAAACGAAGAATTGTTGCCGCTTATTATAGAAATGCACTTGATAATAAATAGCTACCTTAAAAAAGAAAAAAAAAGATAACTTAAAAATAGAAGGCATCTTCTTGTCGCCGGTCAAAGCGACCACAGGCTTGCCCCTGTGGCCGCCATTCACATACGGGGAACGGGGAGATGGGGAATTCGAAACCCTCTTCTTCAGATAACGGGGTTTATGGGTTTTGGGGTTTCTCTGGGTGGGCTCACTAGGGGCCCACCAAACCTTTCATAAGTGAACTCCTCATAAGTGAACTCCAAACTCCTCACTAGGATAACTTAAAATATCCTAATGTTTATTAACTTACAATATTTTCGTGTGATTTATAACGTTTTGTTGTAACGTAATTCAAAAGCAACGTAAATATTCTGATATTTCGATGATTAATATTTTATGAAATTTTACAAAGGTATACGACGTTTTACGCAGCAGTACGGCGTTTTGTTTTGCCCCAGTGCAAGACGCCGCGAATATCTAAATGTCCTACTATTTATTAATTTACGAAGATTTCTAAGGGCTTACGACACGTCCTAAAACTTTTTAATAATTTAATGATTAATATTTTACGACATTTTACAAAAGTTTATTACGTTTTGTTTTAACCCGATGCATAATGTTATAAATATTTATGTTAAATATTTTACTGTGTTAGAGAAAGCATTAGGACGCTTTGTCATAATCCAATGCAAAATGTTATAAATATTTAAATCTCCTAATTTCCAATATTTAACTACATTCTTAAAGTGTTTCCTTGTACCACAGGTCAAAACGTCGCGAATACATTGGTATTTGATAACATTCTACAAAAGCCTACAATGCTATGTTCTAACCACAAAAACATCGCAAATACGTAAATAATTTAAATATGTTTGACGATGTTTTACGAGGGCTTACGACGTTTTGTTGTAACCCAATTTAAATCGTCATAAATATTTCAATGTTTAGATATAGTGATTTTTAATAATTTACAATGTCGTGCCAAAACTAATGACCTCTCGGCAATAACATCACTCAAAACATTGGAAATATATGAACGATATAATTTTTTCGACAGTCGAGAATGGCTTACAACATTCATCATAAGCAAAATAAACCCTCATTTAAATTTTAGGATGTCTCGCAAACTGTCACACCCTTAGTGTCTCAATAAGGCTCCACCCATCGAATCAGCGGGTATGCTCCCGAGCTTAGCTTAAGTGGGGAACCTCGTAATTCGGGCGCAAAACACGTCGCGGACCAAACGCGGGTGTAAATCCTACACCGGCTTTTTCTTCACGCCATGCAGCTTCCGGCGCTTCCGACTCTTTCAAACCCGGAACTTCTGATATTTCCACGACGCACGGGCATTAACATTTAGATTTGCTTATGATTTTTTTTTTCCCGTAATTTCCCGAAATTCGGATGATATTGTATGTCTGACAAGAAAGTGAGGCAAAAGAAGAAGAAGAAGAACCCTATTGGCTTTACTTTGGAGCGCGAAGAGAAACGGACGAGA